CTTTGACCAGGGATGTCACCTTCCATCCGGCTTTCCCTGCAGGAGGCCCTCCCTGTTCTCTGATTCATTCCAGACATTACCTACTTCTCGAGAATATCAGTTCTGCTACTCCTCTGTGGCTCTGCCTCAGCCTGGCCCAGCCAGGAGGCTGTGGCACCACTCTTATTTCTGCCTCTTCTCATGAAATTGGAGAGTTAGCACAGCTACTTCCCATCTTTCCGGAAAGATCTTTAGCGTTTTTATAGTTACAAACTAGGGATGCCCATGGCTGCATTTGGATGACCACCCTCAGCTCAGCAGAGAAGTCCAGCCTGCCTGTGAGAGGCTCAAACACGGACCTATTCCCAGTGGCATGTCAGCACATTAGCTTATATCTTATCCACAAAGATGCCATCTGCAGTTCTGCCCAGTTCCAGCAATGGCCAGTCCTCAGGAATGCCACCAGACCCCATGCAGGGCAACCACTGTTTGGATGTTTGCCACCGCAGCTAACTCCTTCATCTAAGTGGAATCACATGCCCCCTTCAGATGTGGCTCTTTAGTAATGTTAACCCTGTAGGCCATCGTACTAACCACAGAAATATCTGCATCCCTCTTGCCCCCCTGTGCGCAGTCTAGCACAGGGCACGTGATTGGTTAACAGAGAATAACAGTAGAGGGAACTTGACACATCAGATTTTTCACACTAGAGTGAGAAGTGTGTGTCATCTATTGTTGAAAAGGCATTGAGAGTTGGAATTCAGGACAGCAAGAGTGCCAACACAGGCCTTGATGGCTTTGGTCACAGCAGTCTGGCTTGCCTTGTTCCTGGCAGTGGTCTGAGGTTACCTAGGGTCAGTGGCTATGATTCTCCTATGCAGCCATCTCCCTGTAACCTTTTGTCCATATAGGTCTGTCACCTGGACCCCCTTTCCTGTGCCTGAGGTTGGCTGTAGGCTGATGCTAGGAGGCTGCCCTTGGACTCAGTCTTCCAGGAAGAAAGCATCCCTTAGTCCTGTTCCAGAGCCCAGAGAGAAATCTCCCAGCTCGCCAAGGCTGTTAGGGGCCATGGCTCATACTGTGAAGGCAGAGAGACTACTATTTTCCTAGAGAAAAGGGTCCTTAAGCTGAAAAATATATATATATAAAAAAAATAGTCCTGGACCTTCGAGATGGCTCAGGGAGTAAAGATGCTTGCCACCAAGTCTCCAGGACTTTGATGGGGTAGAAGAGAACCGACCCCACAAGCTGTCTTCTGGCTTTTATGAACTGTGGCACACCCATTCCCCTTCTACCTATCTGCAAATAATAAGAGTCCTATTTACAAAACCTCATCCCTGTATGGAGCAGGCTGAGGCAGCAGCGTCTGGAGCTGATGCTGATTGGAATAGACCCTAATAATTGGGGGAAAAAACTGATTAGATACTTTTTATGTTTCCAGTGATTCATAATTGCAAAACTCAGAGAATAAGCAATAAAATCCCTGCCACACAACCCCAAACCCCAAGCTATAGGCTTGAGATGCCCTTTTAGGTTTTGTAAACCTTGGCTCACACACAAGTATGCAGGAAGACAAATACGCAGCCACCTACACAGCATGAGAACACACAGAATCAATACACTTGGACACACTTGGGCTATATGCACAGGCAGTTGGAGCAGCCATGGATTTTTTTTTTATTAATTGTTATTTTTTTATATTAATCACAGATTTTTTACTTTGTATCCCAGCCATTGCCCCCTGCCTCGTTCCCTCCCAGCCCCACCTTCTCTCCCTCATCTCCTCCCATGCCCCTTTCCAAGTCCACTGCTAGGGGAGGTCCTCCTCCCCTTCCATCTGACCCTAGCTTATCAGGTATCTTCAGGACTGGCTGCCATGTCCTCCTCTGTGGTCTAGCAAGACTGTTCCTCCCTCAGGTGGGGGGAGGGTAAAGGAGCCAGTCATTGAGTTCATGTCAGAAATAGTCCCTGTTCCCCTTAGTAGGGAAACCCACTTGGTTACTGAGCTGCCATGGGCTACATCTGAGCAGGGATTCTAGGTTATATCCTTATATGGCCCTTGGTTGGAGAAACAGTCTCATAGAGGGCCCCTGTGCCCTCATATATTTTATCCTTGTGGAGCTCTTGTCCTCTCTAGGTCATACTATCTTCCCCTTCTTTCATATGATTCCCTGCACTCTGCCAAAGGTTTGGTTATGAGTCTCTGCATCTGCTTTGATACACTGCTAGGTAGAGGGATTTCTGTACATTTTATCTGCACTGATTTGCTCTGAGAGATGGTATTACAAACCTCAGCTCCTAGCACACCTACTCCTGTCACCTCCTGACTCATCCCCCCTCCCCTACACTGAAGGGGTTGCTGTCAACCTAAGCTCTCCAGACTGGTGACTAGCTGCCCTGGGCTTGTGGGCATGGGGCATGACCCAGTTACAGACCTCAAGAAATGTCCTGAGTGTGAGCAGAAAGCTGAGAGTGGAGAAGGTTGAACAATGGGGCAGGACCCAACTGATGACGTTTTCCTGAGGACAATGGCTGAGGCACATTAGGTGCTTCCCCTGGGACATACCTCACAAGGGGCCCGTGTCTCAGGAAGCATCTCAGGAGGTGGCAGGCCTGCGATTTGCCCTACAAGGTTGAACCCTGACTGTACGGAAAGAGGACAGGATGGAACAGGTAGAGAGGGAGGCTGTACCACCTGACCTGCCTCAGTGTGTGGAGTGTTAATCCTGGGCTTAGGCTGGCCATACTCAAGCCAGTGGCACTATCAAAGAACATTCCAGAGCCTTGACTGGGTAAATTGCCTTCACCTGACAGAGCCCCTTGTAATGGACTACAGAGGAGAAACACAAGTGGACATAGCTATAAGTTGCCGCATTAATCAATATACTCTAGAAAAGAACCCGGAACTCAAGTCAATTACAATCCCTCGCCAGGGTTGAAAGTGTGTTAGGAGTATGCTACATATCTGCCCACTCCACCCCGATACTTGCACTGTCTCAGGATACTGCCCCCCCGATACTCACTCTGTCAAGCTGGCAACCATATTTTGGGGCAACGCAAAGTTATAGTTAAGTGCAACTCGTGTACAGAGTCATGACATTTGCATGTGTCCAAGGGGAAGGAAGCTTGTGATGATTTGAACCATAAATGTCCCCCCAAATCTCCTTTGCTGGAAGACCTGGTTGCCAGGAAGGAGGGCTTTAGGAAGGGAATGGAGTCATGAGAGCTCTGATGTCATTCATGGATTAAGACAATGTTGGAGTCATACTTTTAAAAATATTTTTATTCATTCTTTGATACTTCATACATGTATACAGATCCTATCCACTTTCAAGCCAACTCTCCCAAGGCTTCCCCCAACATGCCCTCCCCCGCCTCTCTCTGTAACCCAGAGCCCAGGTGGTGCTGCCCACTGGATGCTGACTGGTCATGTTGGCATGATCTTGTGCAGGTTACTATAGCTTTAGTGAACTCATGAGTGCAAGGGCCCTGTCATGTCCAGAACACAGCATTTCACAACATTCTTTCTCTTCCTCTGGCTCTTACATTTCTTTCTGTCCCCTCTTCCACGATTCTCCCTCAGCCTTGGGCAGGGTTGGGGTGAGGGTTTGGCACAGATGTTCCATTTAGGGCTAAGCACCTCTTTTAGTATTACTATTGCTGCGATGCAACATCATGGCCAAAAGCAAGATAGGAGGAGGGGCTTTATTTGGCTTATACTTCCACGTCACTGTTCATCAGTGAAGGAAGTCAGGACAGGAACTCAAGCAGGGCAGGAACCTGGAGGCAGGAACTGATGCAGAGGCCATGGAGGGGTGCTACTTACTGGCTTGCTCCTCATGGCTTGCTCAGTCTGCTTTCTTAAAGAACCCAGGACCACCAGCCCAGGGATGGCCCCACCCACCATGGTCTGGGCCCTCCCACATCAGTTGCTATTTAAGAAAATGCCCTACAGCCAGATGATAAGGAGGCATTTTTTTATTTTGTGAGTGTTTCAAGACAGGGTTTCTTTGTGTAGTCCTGGCTGTCCTGGGACTCACTCTGTAGACCAGGCTGGCCTCAGAACTCAGAGATTCACCTGCCTCTGCCTCTGAGTGCTGGGATTAAAGGCGTGAGCCACCACTGCCTGGCACTTTGACCAGTTATTACTTTCCACATTGACCGCTGCCCACTGCAGAGAAAAGCTTTTCTGGCCAAGGCCAAGAATGGCACTAACCGATGGCTATGAACAGAAACATTTAGAAGGCAGTTTGACGACATGTCCCTTTAGCAAAACAGCCCTAGCGGTTTCACTCTCAGGGTCTACAGCCACCCCCTGAACCATGGCCCTTTGACCAGTTTCATAGTACTAGGCAGGAATGGATGTCCATCTGGGGGAAGGGTGGAGACAAGACGGAGGGCCTAGCTGGAGGTGGTGGGTCCCTGGGAGCATGTCTCCGAGGCCATATCTTGTTTCTAGCCACTTTTAGTTTCCCAGCCACCACAGGAAAGCCTTCTTCCCGCCTTGATGTTCAGCCTCATTTCAGGCCCACGGCACTGCCTGCAGCTTACGGACTGGAATCTTCCAGACTGCGAGACCAAACACACGCTCCCGGGGCTTGTCTTCTCAGTTATTTGTCACCACCACCTCAAACGGGCAGTGCGTGGTGGTCACAGTCAGGGCCACGGGGTGGGAGGGAGCACTAGGGATGTGTGAGGTGGACATATCCAACCAGCAGGAAAGGGAAGGTGGACAGGAAGGAGGGCACATGATAAAAGCAGTGACATCAGTGAATTCTTGCCTGAGCACGGGGAGCAGTACGTAAGTCATACTGCCCTGGGAAAATGGGATAAGGTGCTTCTGCTTAGAAGAGGGCAGGACTGCCTTAGGATCCGGGATGTGCAGGCAGCAGTAAGCTCAGGGAACACCCAAACATTCCTGATACCACAGTCAGAGAGGCAGTAAGCACTCACGTCCAGGATGGCAGAGCCTGAGTTGAGACTGGAACACCCTTTCTAAGTGGATGCTTTCTGTCCTCCAGGTACTTCTAGCCTTGACGTGGTCATGGGATGTTCCAAGGTACGCCCTCTCCGTTGGCCACTTGGCCCAGCGGCTGACATACACACACCTAGAAGGACATTAAAGGAGCACCTGCTCGGTGTGGTTTGAGCCTCTATAGAGCTTTTCTTAGAGAGAGTAAAGGCTACGGTAAGTCAGTTTCTAGGCAGCAGCAGTTGGAAGATTACGTTGAGTTTGTCAGTGAGGAAGGCGCTGTCACATGATCCCAAGCACGTCTGGAAGGCATTGACCTGAGTCCCCAGTACGGGTGCCAAATGGATGTCCTCGGGAGAGAATCTATAAAACAATGCCACAGCTATGCTCTTAGAGCAAGGTAGCCCCGAAGTAGCTCATGTGCTAGGGCTGTGTGAGAGCAAAGCTGTCACGGGACATTCCAATAGAGCTGAAGGCATACTATGGCCAGGAGAAATATGTTCTGGAGATTGACATTGCAGCTAGTGACACTTCCACTGAGCTCCATCTCCAGCCTGGACCAGTCATTTTAACACACACCAGACCCTGTCAGCTAGGAGCCTGCAAGGTCCTGCTTCATCACCAATTTAGAATGTCAAAGTCTTTCATTTAAACTTAACATTCCATGCAATTAGAGCACTCATATACATAAATGCATTTTTAAAAACCTTTTAAAAATTGCTTTCTAAGCTGGACAGTGGTGGCCCACACCTTTAATCCCAGCACTTGAGAGGCAGAGGCAGGCTGATCTCTGTGAGTTCAAGGCCAGCCTGGTCTACAAAGTGAGTCTAGGACAGCCAGGGCTACACAGATAAACCCTGTCTTGAAAAAACAACCCCCCCAAAAAAAACTTTCTAAAAAAAAAAACTTAGTATTTAATGTGTTCACTGATCCATATTTTTCTTGTTACATATTTGGTGAGTTATTATAAGAAAGAAGAAAATGGGCTCATTTTTAAAAGTCCTTAAAGACTGCTTACGTCCAGTGGCAGTTGAGCAGAAAACACTGGTCTCTGGGCACAGTCACACACAACACTCTGCTAGTCCAGTGCCTCCCAAGAAGCAGTGAGAAAGAAAAAAAAAAAAAAAAAAGACCTAAAAGGCATGACTGTCCTGGTTACTCAGCCAGCAGAAGGAGAAAGAGACCTGCACCGAGGTACAATAAAATAAAAATTACAAAAACCGCAAAAGCCCGACTTCTGTGCTTGGTCAGCTCACCCACTATCCCGAGCTTTGCAAAACTGTAAAACTGCCTCGGTGTCATCCTCTGACTCTCCAGTGCCCTTCCTAAGCAGGGAGTCACAGGACTGGCCGTGCATGCCTTTAATTCCAGCACCCAGGGGGCAGGGACAGGAGAATCTCCCTGAGTTCCAGGCCTGTTGAAGTTACATAGTGAGGTCCTGACTCCAAAAGCAACAGCAACACAAAGATGTACGAGGCATTATATATTCCATATACGGTATCAGGCTTTTAGATTCCTGAAGCCAGGGCTGGCAGGAAAGGGTCCTGAATGTCAAGGTTGTCAAATGGGAGGACTAGGCTGGGATTAGAAAGAAGACAAAAGCAATAATTGAAACCAGAAGGTCTTGAATAAACTGATGTCTATGCCAAGCAAGTTTATTAAGAAGTACAGCATCTTTTTTTTTGTTTGTTCGTTTGTTGTTGTTCTGTTTTTTTGTGACCCAGCTGAATCTTATCTGGGGTTTACAGGGGGATATGGCCAAGGTCAGCAGAAGTCAGAAAGCAAGGAGAACACAAGCTGCCTCAGACACAGCCGCCTTAGGGCTGACAACCACAGCCCAGGAGGTCCCCAGACACTGCAGCCACGTCTCCTCAGAAGCTCTGGCTCTGTCATCAGTCCAGCCTTGCCACTTCTGTTCCTGGACAACCGCAAACCTTTCACCATGGCCTCTAAGAAAGCCTTGGGTCAGTCTGGCTCCCAACACAGGGCTGTTGTTTGCCTCAAGCTAAGGATCACCGGATGGGTGAGTTCTGCCTGTGGCAGTTTCCATATCAGGTTCATACCACTTTCTGAAAGAACACACAGGAAACCAGGCACCTGGCAAAGGAACTAGACCGGTGAGAGGAGAGCCACCAATTTCCACCAATCCCATTGGGGCCCCACTGCCAATAAAAGATGAAAACAAATGCAGGACCACATTCAGGGATTCCAGAAGCTTCGCCTCTGGTGTCTGAATAGCCATAAGGCAGCGTTGGTGCTCTCAGAGGAGGGCAGGGCTTCTGCGACCAACCATCTCAGGTTGCCTTCATTGCTACAGTTCACCCTTGGTTCGTGTCCACTCCTCTGACCCAAGGGCTGGAGCAATACTTGCTGCAGATCCAAGAGGACCTGAATCTGAATCCCAGTCACCCACATGAAGAGCTGGGTGCAGCTGCACCTGTGCCTGTAACCCCAGCGCTGTAAACAGCAGACAGGAAGATCTGCTGGTACTTGCTGACTACCAGCGTGGCTGAGCTCCATGAAAGAATTACTATGGGCAGAACTCCAGGGTATTCAGTGTAGCCAGGTCACCTTGTTGAGAGACTTTCATACAACTTATCTCTTTTCTTTGTTTCTTTCTGTCTGTCTGTCTGCCTTTCCTTTTCTTTTTCTTTTTTTTTTTTTTTTTTTGAGACAGGATTTCTCTGTGTACCTCTGGCTGTCCTGGAACTCCCTCTCTCTGTAGACCATGCTGGCCTCCAACTCAGAGATCCACTTGCCTCTGCCTCCTGAGTGCTGGGATTAAAGGTGTGCACCACCACTGCCTGACTTCCATACAATTTCTTAGTTCTAGTTATTGGAGGACAGGCTGGCATGAGTGACTTAAAATTTTTGGGTTTCATGTGTGTGTATGTGTGTGTAGTATTTTAATCTTTTACTAAATATTCTCTGCAAGCATTATATCTTTCTTTTTTCTTTTTGGTTTTTTGAGATAGGTTCTAATGCCAAATGCTGGGATTAAAGGCATGTGGCACCACCGCCCAGCTTCAAAACACTATTTCTATCCTGGATCTAAATTATAAAATAAACAAATAAGATTAAGGGCCAGGTGTGGTGGCACATGCCTTTATTCCAGACAGATCTCTGAGTTCCAGGCTACCCCGGTCTACAGAGCTACACCTAGGACAATCTGGGCGATTACACAGAGAAACCCTGTTTCGGGAAATAAAACAAAACAAACAAACAAAACCCACCAACAACAACAAGCTTAGAAAGAGAAAAAGTGGGAAAAAAGCTGAATATAGACAAAAGTGTGTGAAAAAAATAAAATTATATTACCCAGAGTTTATAAACATAGTAAGACTGTAATTTGAAACCTGTGCTTCTGAAATGAAAGCTTATTCAGTTATTTTTAGCAACAATCTGGCTCAAACACCCACTTCCCCAGGCAGTGTTGGTACATGCCTTTAATCACAATGCTCTAGGAGGCAAAGACTCCCAGATCTCTTTGAGTTCGAGGCCAGCCTGGTCTACAGAGTGAGTTCTAGGACAGCCAGGGATACACAGAGAAACCATCTCTAAAAACAAACAAACAAAAATCAAGAAGACCTGCTTAAAATACTTTCAAAATGGAGCTATGTTTATCTATAAGTTTCTTCTCAAGCTGTGCTCCTAATTCTTTCATTTTTTTTTTTGTAAATTTTTTTTTTTTTTAATTTTTATCCAGCTAGGTATGGTGGCACAGGCCTTTAATTCCTGCATTTGGAAGGCAGAGGTAGGTGAATCTTGGTGAATCAAAGGCCAACCTGGCCTAAAAAGTGAGTTCCAGGACAACCAGGGCTATACAGAGAGACCCTATCTCAAAAAAGTTTTTATATACAGCAACTTTAAAAAACTTTTTTTTAAATGTAGATCATGTATCCTCCCACCTCCCTACCTGCCCAACTTTATGTTCTTTCTCTTTTTTAAAAAAACAAAACAAAACTAACAAAATAAAAATCAAAACAAATTGACAAAAACCAGTAAGTCCCCCCCAAAAAATGCCCAAGAAAACAATAAGTCCACAAAAATAAGTTTTATATTGGTCACTTACTGCTGGGCCTGGGGCCTCCCTGAAGTATGGTTAATACACTCATCAAGCCTCTGTCAGAGCAAATGGATTCTCTTTTGCCAGAGGGTATCAATTAGTCATAGCTTCTTGGTTAGGGATGGGAGCCCATGTTCCCTCTCTCCACAAGGGGTCCCTGTCAAGTTTAAACCTGTGCATGCCGCCACGACTTCTGTGAGTTCATGTGTGTGTCAGTCCTGGGGTGTCTTGAAGAGATTGTTTTCTTGGAGTCATCTATCACTTCTGCTCTGACAATCTTTCTGCCTCTTCTCCGGCATAGATCCCTGATTGTGCATCAGAGATCCGGCATAGGTGCTGATTGTGAGTCTCTCTGTCTATTACCATCAACTACAAGAAAAAGCTTGTCTGATGAGGGCTATCAAGGCACAGATCTATGGGTGGAGCAGATCTATGGGTGTTTTATTGCTGTGTTCCTTTGGCAAGATAATATTTCTAGGCTTTCCCATAGACCCGTGACCTATCTAGTCTCAGGTTCTTGACTAATTTAGCAGTGTCAATTGTGGTTCTCTCTCATGGAGTGAGCCTGAAGTCAAAGGTTTAAAACGTTGATGGGGTTGGAGAGTCGGCTCAGCAGTACAGAGCCCTGTCTGCTCTTCCAGAGGACTTGGGTTCAATGTTCAGCACCCACATGGCAGCCCACAACTGTCTGTAACTCCAATTCTAGGAGATCTGGCACCCTTGCACAGATGTGCAGGCAGGCACAACATCAATGCACATTAAAAAAAAAAAAAAAAACTTTAAGAAAAAGTTGCTGTTACTCCCATCGCGTTTGTGACAGGACGGCACCAGGACATCCTGCACGTGGGTCGCTGTTGTGTGTCTCGGAGTTTGATGATTACTTTTCTCCGGTCGTGCACAGAGTTCCTCCTAGTACAACCAGAGCTACTTGTTTTATTTGGAAAGAAAATAATTATTTCTGAAAGCATAAAATGCAGAATTTTAAAATTGTTGTTGTTGTTAATACAGTACAGAGAACGAAGAGCTACTAAGGTGAAAACTGTTGGAGGTAATTAAATAACACTAACACCTGGTCAGCTATGGTGCTCTTTATAGTTCTCTGAATGAAAACAATTTTTTTTTTTAAATACAGGATCTCACTGTGTAGACTATGTTGGCCTGGAACTTATTTTGTAGAACAGGCTGGCCTTGAACTCACAGAGATATACCTGCCTCTGCCTACCAAGACCTGGGATTAATGGTGAGTGCCATAGAGCCAGAGTTTTTGTTTACAATCTTTAAAGCTTACTGTTTCTAATTTATTTATTTATTCATTTACTTATTTATTTATCTTTGAGATAGGGTTTCTTTGTGTAGCTTTGGCTGTCCTGCACTCACTTTGTATACCAGGGTGTCCTTAAACTCACAGAGATCTGCCTTCTTGTGCCTCCTAGAGTGCTGGGATTACAGGCGTGGGCTACCCCACCTGACTTATTTTAGTTTTGGTTTTTTTTTTTTTTTTTGAGACAGGGTTTCTCTGTGTAGCCCTGGCTGTCCTAGAACTCACTGTGTAGATCAGGCTGGCCTTGAACTCACAGAGATCCACCTGCCTCTGCCTCCTTGGTACTGGGAATATAAAGAATGTGTACTACCACTGCCTGCTTCTAATTTTATTTTGAATCTCAAATTTACCCTGAACCTTGACCCCTATATTAACTTGCAATCCAGGCATTTACACATATGCAGGCCCTACCTGCACAAAGCTCAGGAAAAACATGGCTGACCACACTCACCTAGCCATAAATCTGTCTTATTTGCTATCTGCTGATGTAAGTGAAGTTTCGGTTTAAGCCTGGCAAATGAGATTTATGAATATCTATAAACCCATGTCTTATCTTGATATTCCAAAGCTGCCTAGCACTCTACACAGCTTAACTCTGCCTGACTAAGGCCAAAGATCCTATAACTTCATTGCCAGGCCATGTCACTAGCTTTTTCAATTTGCCCACCATATAGATTCTAGGAATTGAGCTCAGCTCAGCAGGCCTACAGGCAGGCTCTTTTACTCACTGTGAGGCATCATTTTTTATTTGAATTTTATTTTATTTATGTGTATATCTGTGGGAAAGGTGTGCACAAAGGAGCAGGTGTTCGTGTTGGGTGTGGACGATGGAAATCAGGTTCACTGCAAGATCAGTTTGCACTCTTAACTTCAGAGCCATCTCTCCACCCTTCACTGTGTCTTACACTCTGCAGTCTGGAGAACTTGAATCTGAGAGGATCATGAACATGCAAAGATGCATTTTACAAACAGAAAATTTGAGTGACACTTATACGTTGCAGGATATTTGATCACATTGTGAACCCCAAGTTTGTGAACTGGAAAACTATGTTTTGAATTGTGGAATGGCTCTGCCGAGCACACACTTAATCCAAGAGCTAAATAAAGTCACCCATAGATGACAGGGCAGAGCAAGCAACTAGCCTACAGGGAGTGAAGATAAGTAAACAGAAAGAAGGGACATTGAGGAGAAGGGTAATTAGGGCAGACTGGAGAAGGAGAAATGGCTTTTTCCTTCTGGGACACTGGCTGAGTAGGAAGGTCGGCTGGGTGTTTTCTCTGACTCTCTGAGTTAGCAGGCTTTCCCCCCAGCATCTGGCTCCTGAGTCTTTACTGGTAAAACCGACCATTTGGAATTTTCTTTCTTTTTAACATTTCGCACCCCAACGTGAGGCCACAACCCATGGACAGGGAAATCACTCCAGCTACAGACAAACTGAGGAGCCATCAGATTTGGTAAGTCATCTGGGACGTCCACAAGGACAGAGTTAAGGATGGGAAATACTGAAATAGAAGGCATTAGGACCCTGTTTAGTGATACTCCAGATGGCCTGAAAAAAGCAGAAAATGAAAAGCTAAATAAAGACTGAAATAGGCTCAATACAATTATGATGTTTTAATCATTTTGGTATTTTATGCTTTAGACTTACTAGCCATATTGGCTTTCTATAACCCACTCAAAGAAAAAGTGGATTGATAAGATACAAGCTTCAGAAGGAAAATTAGAGAACCCTATAAATAAAAATGAGAAAAATACTCAAACACAGACAGAGGAATTTAGACAAGCCTTAGAAAGACCTAAGAAATATACTCAAACACAGAAAGAGAAAATTTAGACAAGAGCCTACCATGCCACTGCATAATAAAACTAACATGGAATGCCCCAAGGTTGTTAGAAAACCAAACTTTGTCCAGTTCCTATACAAGACATACCAGGAGGTGATAGGCACCCCCAAGGTTATAATGAAATTAAATGGAATCCTATAGACATATTAGATCTGAGGAGATTTAGGG